CCAGGGTCACCCACTGAGTTCCACGACTGAATGGAAAATTGAACTTGGGTCCAGTGTTCCCTCTAAGCTGGGTTAGTGTGAGCTAGCTCACAGTTTTTTTAGCCTCCAGCTCACAAATTTTTGTCTTGGCTCAGAAAGGAGGGCTCCAGAGCAAACTAATTTATGCAGCAGACAAATCGATCACTCAAGACTTTAATGCCAATAGGTCACAAAGTAGGATTTTTGCTCACAAGACAGCTTAGAGGGGACATTGCTTGGGTCTCTTGGGTCCTAGTTTGACACTGGTCCTAAAATTTTCTTCCATCTTCCGAAAGAAAGAACAGAGGCTAGATCACTGGTTCCCAAAGTAGGCAAAACCACCCCCGGAGGGGTGCTGGAACGATCCAGGTGGGCGGTAGGAGCCCTGGGTGCAAATCTGTCATTGCATCTTTTTGTCCATTTTTGAAGGTAGATTTCCAGGAGGGTGCTGAGTTTAAAAAAAAAAGTCTGAAAAGGGGGCGGTAGGCCAAATAAGTTTGGGAACCTATGGGCTAAATGGAAGAACTGGGGTTTCATCTTGTGAAAAAATCAGTAGTGGGGGAGACAAATAAGTTAGCGCCCCTGTCCTTAACAGGACAGCAGAACAATGTCATGTCAAATAGATTCCAGTGCTATGCAGATTCTCCCACCTTCTGTAATTCCTATGGCTACCAGATTGTCTCCAGCTCCTTTCCCATGGTGTACTCTAAGCCAATGCCCCCTCTAAGCTGTGGAGTCTTGTGAGCAAAAATTCTACTTTGTGAGCTACTGACATTAAAGTTGTGAGCGAGTCATTTGGCTACTGCATAAATTAGCTTGCTCTGGAGCCATCCTTTCTGAGCTAAGACAAAAATGTGTGAGCTGGAGGTTAAAAAACTGTGAGCTATCTCACACTAACTCAGCTTAGAGGGAACACTGCTCTGCGCCCTGCCTGATTCCAAACACCCATCAGCTAAAACCGCCCTACCCAGACACACAACTAAGCCCAGTCCACTCAGGCTGTGGATGATATGGAGGAGGGAAGAAGCCATGCATTGAAGAAAGTAGGAGGGATACAAACATTATATAATAGCTCTCCCGTGTTTACAGATGAAATAGTGACACAGCTCCTCATCTGAAGGGTCACTGCCCAAAGGCCACCCCTTCCCACCTCCCAGACATTGCTAAAAGTGTTTCATGGCTCAAGCATTTCCATTTACGATGCAATAATCCTGTTTTCCACTGATTTAGAAACCAAAAGGTGGTGATGGCAGAGATTGGCCACCTGCCAAAGGCAGCACCACCACAGGGGGCTGCACGTAGCCCTGGATCCCAAGTTGCTTCTGCCAGGGCTCTTTTTGTAGAAAAAGCCCAGCAGGAACTCATTAGCATAATAGGCCACAACCAACAGCAGAAACTCATTAGCATATTAGGCCACACCCCTGACAGCACAGCTCATTAGCACATTAGGACGCACCCCCATGTTACCAGAAGTGTAGTCATCCAGCCACACCCACCTTTTACCTTGTTTGTTGTCAAAACCCAGGGCTTTTTTGTAGCAGGAACTCCTTTGCATGTTAGGCCACACACCCCTAATGTAGCCAATCCTAATGAGTTCCTGCTGTTGGGTGTGGCCTATTATGCTAATGAGTTCCTGCTGGGCGTGGCCAACTTGGGAGCCAGCCGGAACTCCGTTCCTGCGCGTTCCTGCTCAAAAATAGCCCTGCTTCTCCCCTTTGCAATGTTTGTCTGTTTCTCTGCCCTCTTCACACAAGAAAAAGAAGCAGAGATCAGTATTTACCTGATCCTTTCGGTGGCTGTGGGGATTGGGACCTAGAGGGAGAGAACAAATAACCCAGCAGGGAGCAAGAAGATGGGCCTGCGGGGAGAAGAGTGATGTCTTCTTCCCTCCTCCCCCCAAAAAACCTGAGCTGGCACAACATGGTTCTTTTGGTTAAGGATATATTAGGAAGAACTTGAACATCTTCCAGTATATTGCTTAACACTGCAGCCGCAGGGTGCACAACAGCAGGGATGGTGATGTTAAACACTCATGTATACTAGCACCGCCCTAGAACTGCAGATGTGGGCTACAGATGAAAAGGTGCAATGAGCAAGTGAAGTTTTAAGACTGATTCCGTGAGGAATCTGAACCGACAAAGTTAGCAACCCACTGCGGGAGAATCCAAGCAGAAATGGCTGGGTTAAAATTAGTTCACCGTTAGATTTGATTATATTAAAAAAGGCTTAAACAGAGATGATGGTTTTCTAAGACACTAGAGATGTCAAATGGCTTAACATAACTAGGTAGCCTCTTTTGTGAACAATTCTTATGTGTATCTTGCATACTTTTCCATACAGATGTAGAAACAACAGAACCTTTTAAATCCACAGTTCACCATTTCCTCTCCCCAAATACTAGAACTTGAGGGCATCCAATAAAGCTGATGGGCAGTAGATTCAGGATGGACAAAAGGAAAGACTGCTTTACACAGAGAATGATTAGAATGTGGAATTCGCTGCCAGGGGATGTAGCGATGAGCCACAGGCATAGACAGCTTTAAAAGGGGATTAGATAGATTCATGGAGGGTAAGTCTATCAATGGCTACTAGCCATGGTGACTGGGGGGGAACTTCCACATTCAGAGGCACTAAGCCTCCGAATCCCAGAGCCAGGAGGCAACATCAGGGGAAGGCCACAGCCTCCGTACCTTGTTGTTGGCCCTCCAGAGGAACTGGTTGGCAGCTGTGTGATACTGAAATATGTCTAAAGCTGATGGCCACAGTCCCTGAACAGACTGAAGTAGTAACAAAAAACTGTGCAGGAGTTTGCGCTAAAAAATTTGAAATATTAATCAAAAAGGTTTCATACAAAAGAATGTACAATATTTGCGTAACATATCAAATACAAGTGAAGACGGTGATCTCCGGAATGTTCTGCCGTTTCGACACAAGTCTTCTTCTGAACAATGATGTATACATGGGGTGTCTCTCTATTTCATTTCAACTGATTCATCATCAACAATTTCATGGATCTCTCAGGATTGTGTAATACACTGTAGAAACAGTTTCTAGAGAAGCCTTTCCATGGGCGGATGAAGTTGATTAACATTTCGAATTTATTAGCGCAAACTCCTGCACAGTTTTTTGTTACTACTTCGGTCTGGCCTCTGTGTGAGACAGGATGCTGGATGAGACAGACCATTGGTCTGATGTAGCAGGGCTCTTCTTAGGTTCTTATTTCCCCTACCACATGTGTGTATGTGTGTGCATAGATAGACTTTCTGACTGAGAACTTATTTAACACATCTGATATGGCCTATGAACCCAATATTTTACTAGATCAGTGCATTTTTAAGGTGCCACTAGACACTGTTTTTGTTTTTACAGTTTTAATAAAACATCCACTAAAGGCAAAAATACAGGCAATGAGTTACCTGGCACTCGAAAATAGGGACAAAGCACACGTGTACTCCTCACCCCTAAAACCCCATTCCCAAGATACACAAGAGGCCCTGAGAATAGAGCATCAGTTTAGAACTTTTGTGAGGTTTAGGTCCAAATTTTACCAAGTTACCTCAGTCGGACTTTGGCTGGTCACTTTCCCTCCGTCTGACCTACCTCACAGGGTCGTTGTGAATATGAAATGATGTAGGAGGGATGCCACTCTTGAGATTTTTTTAAGCCGAGCGATAATTACATTACATTACACATTTGATTTATATACCGCTTCTTCCCGAAGGCTCTGAGCGGCTTACGTAGACATTTAAATCACCTAACTAGGGCCACAGTGCAAGGGGAGGGGTGAGTGCCTACCAGGCACCTAAGCAGCAGTGATCTTCCTTATGTTGTTCTTCTTCCATGGTGGGTTCTTTCTGTTCATTACAATCAATAATTTGATTGTATGTATAACAAAACAGGTATTTTACTAACTAAAGAATAAAGTTGCCAGTTGGTAAGAGCACTGATGGAGTCCCCCCAGCCTGGCTGCAGGGAGGCGCTCTGCCCACGCTCAGAGGCGCTCGTTGGCCCCGCCGCCACTGGAAGAGACGCTTGTCCCTGAGGCGGGCTCTGGGGCCTCGCCTCCCCTCCTCCGCTCAGCGGTACCCCCCACCACAGACCGTCTCCATGGCAACCCCACAGACCCTCTCCCCTGCGGGCCGCACCCTTCACCGTCGCCATGGCAACACCCACCCACCCACCCCTCTACCCCGGTACCTGGGAGGCTCATCGCCAAAAGCGTCGGGTCCGTCAGCAGCACTCAACAGAAGCGACAGAAAGAATCGGGCAAGCCGGGGGGGCGGAAGCGGCTCTTTAACAGCCTCGGAAGCAGGAAACGGGTCCCCGTGACGGACAGTGGCGAGGGACAAAAAGAAACCCCTTTCGCGGAGGAAACGCTTCTTAAAGGAGCCGCAGCCCTCTCAGGCGTTAAGGCTCGTCAGCGCAAGCCAGTGGAGGTGTCTGGTCCGTGCCTCCGTTTTTATATGTCCCCTCCCTTCCTTCCTTCCAAATAACCCGAGGTGGCATGCATCAATTATCTCCTCCTCCCCGTCGATTTTACCTACACAACAACCCTTTGGGGTAAGTTAGGCTCAGAGAGGACGAGTGAGTTTCATGGACGGGTGGGGGTGGGGGTTTGAACTGGGTCACCCAGCAGCACTCCGACTAATGCACCGCACTGGCTCTCGCCCCCCCCCCCCCCCCCCCACGAAAGGTGGGCGGATCCCGGGTGGGAATGGCTGCCAACTCCAGGTTGGGAAATTCCTGGAGATATTGGGAAGGAGCATGGGGAGAGTGGGATTTGGGGAGCAGAGGCAGCTCAGCACAGACGTGATGCCATAGAGTCCAGCCTTCGAACTGCCATTTTCTCCTGGGGAATTTAACTCTGCCCTCTAAGAACAGCTGTAATTCCGGGAGATCTCCAGGTCCAACCTGGAGGTCGGCAAACCTAGGGAATGCATGGAGATTTGGGGGGGGTGGAGCCTGAGAAGGGTGGGCTTTGGAGAGGGGAGGGAGGTCAATGGGGTATAATGGCCATAGAGTCCACCTTCTAAAGTGGCCATTTTTTCCAGGGGAACTGATCTTTGTTGCCTGGAGAACAGTTATAATAGTAGGAGATCTCCAGTCACCACCTGGAGTTTTGTAAACAGGGGACACGGCTATGAATAGTTAACTTAAACAAGGTTACACCGTGCAAAAATATATAATAAATAAAAAAACTCATAATTATAAAGGTTATAAGTATGCTTTATCCCAAATATAATAGTAAGTATAAATAAGATATAATACATATACAACTACATAGGTTTCCCTATCCAGGGGTCATTTCCTGCAGGAGCTCACAGGAGCGGAGCTCCAGCAATAAAGAGCCCAGGGGGCGGGCACACGCAACAAGCCCCACCCCCTGCTCCCAGCAGCCCTCAGTCAGAGAAAGAAGCAGCCAGGTAAGTTGCAGAGCTCCCCCCGGCCCCCAACAGTCCAGTGGCATCTTTAAGACCAAGCTTTATTCAGGTACAAGCTCTCCCTCCTCTGCAAGGACAGATCTGCACGTCCCACCCACCCCAGTAGCTAGCCATGCAAAACAGTCCAGTGGAGCCTGAGCGGTGGGTGTTGCCTTCTGACACACTTCTGGTGATGTCAGGAGTGTGTGGCATATGCAAATAAGTTATGCTAATGAGTTATGCTAATGAGATCCTGCACCTCTTTTTCTACGAAATGACCCCTGCCTATGTCAGATTTGTCAGGAGTGTGTGGCATATGCAAATAAGTTATGCTAATGAGATCCTGCACCTCTTTTTCTACGAAATGACTCCTGCCTGTGTCAGATTTTTCAAGTGTTTGGAAATGGACGTCTTTGAGATTGACTTTTGACTTAAATGTAGTTGTATATGTATATCTTATTTATACTTACTATTATATTCATTCATTCATTCATTCATTCCATTTATATCCCGTCCTCCCCGCAAACAGGCTCAGGGTGGCTTACATTAGTCGGAACAAAGTACCATAAAACCCACATAAAAATTATATTTGGGATAAAGCACACTTATAACCTTAATAATTATATGAGGTTTTTTATTTTGTTATATATTGTTGCACGGTGTAACCTTGTTTAACTTAACCACCCGGAGTCTGGCAACCCTAGCCCCAAGGCCAGCAAAGTCACAGTCCCTGAAAGGAGATGTGGAGCACATTTGGGAAAAGGGAAGAGATACGAGAGTGGAAGGGCACCTTAGGCAAGGGCTGGAACCTCCAGGCAGTCCTCATGAGTCGCTGAACAAGCAGGACTTGTCCCGTGAAAGCAATCCGGAGTGTCCCAAATACGAAGAGGCTGTCTTGGAAGGCAAGCAGGCAGCAGGTTTCTTGCCTCCTTAGATGCTCACTGTCTAGAGATCCGGGGACAGTTTGCACGTGCTAAACTACAAAGGAAGCACAAGAAGGGAGAGAAGGCAAGGAAGGATGAAGAACAAAACCGCTTCTTAAGACAGGACAAGGGAGGCAAAATATCTTTTGGGGGAGGGGATGCCAGACGTGGAGGGCTAGCACAAGGGAACGTAGGGCCCAGTCCAAAGTGATAATTTTTATCCATACGATTACAAAATACAAATTCATGTTTCTCCGGAGGAAAGAAAGCCGTTGATGTAAACAGCAAGACCAAGACATTTATATCTTAATACAAAGCACAAAGGAGCTGCGGTGGCTCAAGTGGTTAAGACGCTGAGCTGCAGGCTGTGGAAGGTCAGTAGTTCAGCAGTTCGAGACCCGAGTTGCCGCATGACGGAGTGAGCTCCCATCTCTAGTTCCAGCTCCTGCCAACCTAGCAGTTCGAAAGCAAGAAATTGCATGGAGATAAATAGGTACCACTTTGGTGGGAAGGGAACAGTGTTCCGTGTGCCTTGGTGTTTAGTAATGCCGGCCACATGACCACGGAAACGTCTTCGGACAGCGCTGGCTCTTCGGCTTTGAAACGGAGATGAGCACCGCAACCCTAGAGTCGGATTCAACTGGCTTTCGAGCAAGGGAACCTTTACCTTTACAAAGCACTAAGAAAAGACCACCAAGAAAAGTGTGGTGGAAAGTGCCAGCAAGTCGCATTTGACTTAGGGATTTCAAGGCAAGAGCAGTTCAGAGGTGGTTTGCCATTGCCTGCCTCTGCATCACAACCCTGGTGTGCCTTAGCAGCCGAGAACTGATGAGGTCAGGCTAGCCTGGGTCATCCAGGTCAGGGCAAGAAAAAAGAAAACAGGAATTATAAAAAGTAACCGTATGGGCTCTTTATCTTGGACTAGGAGTACACTTCCTCAGATAAGCTAGCCCACCTGCATTTCTGGAATTATTAGGTAGAAATTAGAATATGGGATGCTTTGCAAAGAATACGACACAACTAATTAATATGACACATTCATAATCACCAGAATCATCCTTGTAAACATTTGTCCTCCGTGTGGAAATAGACAGTCATTTCAGCACCTTCCCTCCCCTCTGGCAAGAGAAGGATGATCAGGCAGACTGTCTCCATTTCCATAAAAGGTTTATTTAATTAACACTTCATTTCTAGTACACAAGCCTGTGATCTTTTGTTAATTGTAAATTAGCTGGAAATATATATAGGCTCGCACCCTTCTGAACAGGTAGAAAGACGTTCCAGCCGGTCTCCTTCCTGCTTCAATGTAATCGGCTTTAGCAAACTTTAAACTGTTAGAAACATCCCTTGTAGACATGACTGGGTCATCTCCATTCATTTATCTAGCATCTCTCTCTCTCCATTTTGCATTCTCTGATTTTTACTGGCTTTGGCCTACAAAGCTGTGGGGAGAGAGAAGGGGGGAAATGTATCTCTTCTCCTTTCCACCTTGATTGCTTTCAGAAAATAAAAGGTTAGGGTGGATAGAAAGCTCCCCAGCACACGTCACTGATCTTTTTCATGGGAGTCCTACAGAGACTTACACAGCCAAACATACAACGTTAAGAACAGAGAAACAAATTAGTGGAAGGCTACCCACAGCATCTTACCAAAAGATAACAATTTTGTTTTAAGCTAAAATAATTTAACATCATATCCCCCCCCCCCCCCAAAAAAAGTCTTTTTAATGGGAAAGCCCATTTTCCAATAAAATGGTGAGCATGTAAACAGGGAAACTACTGTGTGTTACTTTTTAGTTAAAAACAAGTCTGCTTGAAACATGTATCTCATCAAGACACATGTTACAGTTTGTTTGATAAACCACTTCAACACATATTATGACAAGCAAAAAACAAGGTTATAGCACACCTGTGCTTATCTCAAAAGAAAGAGACTAAGACTAAAAATATGCCCTTTGTATCTCACAGTACAACGGGGGGGGAATCACTTCTTCCATGTGAAACAGATACATGTGCTGCAGGGCAGTTCTTCTAAACACCAGCAAAAAGGAAGGAAATGTATTAAAGATCCTCTGTGACCTGTTATTAAACCCTTGAGGCACCTGGTTTCTAGTCAAGATTGCTGTGCTTTTCCTTTCTCCTTTGTATCAGCCTGTCAATTAAGAACAACGTTTAATTGGGTATAAGCTTTCGTGTATATGCACACTTTTTTAGAGGCAACAAAACAAAGTTTGAGTCCAGTGGCACCTTTAAGACAAAGAAGTTTAATTCTGGGTAAAAGCTTTTTTGTGCATGCAAACTTTCTTGGGAGCAAGAGAACCAAGTTTGAGCCCAATAGCACCTTTAATACCAACACAAAGTTTATTTCTGGGTATAAGCTTTTGGGTGCATGCACACTTCTTTAGATGCAACAGAACAATGTTTTGAGTGTATTGCTTTGTTCTATTGCTTCAGATCAACATGGCTATCCACCTGATTCCTGTTTCTTTATTTCCTTTCTGCCCTCTGCATAAAGGAACTTGGAGTGTGGCAATATAGCTCCTCTGCATGGCTTGAATTATGAAATACATGTCTTCTTTAGGCTTAGATACAAAGTTTGTTCTTTTCCAGTCAGTAACTCTTAGTATTACCTTTAAAGTATCTTTTGTCAAGATTATCCAGTTTGTTTGGTTGTTCATCTGTCCTGGTGGTGATGGAAAGTGCCATCAATTTACATCTGATTTATGATGACCCTGTTGGGTTTTCAAGACAAGAGACGTTCAGAGGCGGCTTGCCATGGCCTGCATCACAACCCTGGCATTCCTTGGTGGTCTCCCATCCAAATACTAACCAAGGCCAGCCCTGCTTCGCTTCTGAGATCCGATGACATCCGGCTAGCCTGGGCTGTCCACAGGGGTCATTTCGTATAAAAAGAGGTGCAGGAGCTCATTAGCATAACTTATTTGCATATGCCACATCCCCTGACATCACAGGAAGTGTGTCAGAAGGCAACACCCACCGCTCAGGCTCCACTGGACAGTTTTGGATTGCTAGCTATTGGGGGGGGGGGGGGGACATGCAGATCTGTCCTTGCAG